CAGCAACATCGGGTAGGGGAAATTTTCCCCTTCCTGACGATGCTGTTGGTTTGCGTGGGCGTTCTTCGGGTAGCGAGTAAAGGGCCCACAAACCATTTGTTTACAAATGGCTTTTGCGCCGTTTTCAAATGTTAGCACTGAATTATTAACTTAAATTAAATTAAATCTGGTATTTTTCTGATGTTTATAGAACTACCCTGAAGTTCTAGTAGTTCTTCTAACTAACCTTAAAATGTACATTTACCGCTATACCGCTATGCCGCTGTCCTGGTGTCATTGGGTTCGGCCCTTTACCTGGCTCGTAGACATTTCAAAGACAACAATGTCTGCATGATGTTTATACATCGGTTCAAACTATGCGTATTGATAAGTTTTCTGAAAAGATTTGGATCTAGGTGCATAGTTTGCTTTGATAGTCTTTCACAGTTTCTCTAGCATTCTCTAGTCTTAGCTCATCTAAATATTTACTGCAAAATCCCTGGATTAATCTTCAATTTGGCTTTGTTTTCTTGTTTATTTTCTATCGTTCTATGTTCTGCAACCGAGTGGCAACCACTTACGCCAGGGAGGCAATTGAACACCTAGACCTGGACTCATCAACTCAAGGGCCAGGATCCACGGCTGTGCTTCTTTTCGAAGGAAGGCATGACACCACCAAAGCAACCAAGGAAGTCATCAATCACCACCAACTGACGAGTTTCGTTTGTGGTTCGACACATGGTTATAGCATTTGTGTTTTGCTAAATTTTGCTAATTATTGGGGAATTTCCCTAAACTTTCACGCGGCCACCAGTTTTCACTCTTCCACAGGCCTTAAGGGTAACCCACATTAGCTGTCACTTTGCTGCATCGCGCCAGATCCGGATCTAATGTGGGTGGCCCTGTAGATTTGGAAACTTGATTATGTAAACACTAGGCATCTTTTTCTGGTAGTTCGTTCAAAAATGATACAACAATCGTCAAGCTCGCTGTAACGTCACCTAGTGCCTCGTCACCTACAAATTGGCGCCTAAGTCAGTGGTCTAATAACTCTTAGCGCGCTAATGGCATAGTTCCCCTGCCGCATAGAGAGTTGCCACAATGACATTAGGTTAGCTAAGGTCAGTTAACTGACTGGTGGGAAACGGGAGCTTACGCAATGACTATTCTGTATGCATTTAAGAGATAGTCTACCAGAATGGATGATTTTTTTTGTACAATTTTATGTTTTCTGATTGTGCAAAACATGAGAATTAACTTTTCCAATGCTTTCAATTGTACAAAGCATTAGTGCTAGAAACATGATCTTGTAAACACTACACACCTTAACTGTTAGTTTGATTAAAAAATGCTGCAACAATCGTCAAGCTCGCTGTAATGTCACCAAGTGCCTCGTCACCTACAAATTGGCGCCTATGTCAGTGGTCTAATAACTCTTAGCGCGCTAATGGCATAGTTCCCCTGCCGCATAGAGAGTTGCCGCAATGACATTAGGTTAGCTAAGGTCAGTTAACTGACTGGTGGGAAACGGGAGCTTCAGCATTGACAGTTATGTACGCATTTTTATGATGTTATCTAACAACAATGGTGTGTAGTGTTTACACGATTATGTTACTAATTCTAATGTGTTGTAAATATAATTGAAAGCATTTGAAAAGTAAGATTCTAGTGTTTGTACTTCTTAAAACATAAGTAAACATCTACATTTTAAAACATTCAAACAACGTTTACTTTAAACGTTTTGTACATCTGAAAACATCAGAGAACAACAAACAGGAAGTACAATTGAAAACATCCGAACAACGTTTAGTTCTAACGTTTTTTACATCCGAAAACATCCAAAAACGTTTGGTTCTAACATCAGGAAACTTCTACATTAAAAAACATCAGAAAACATTTACATATAAAAACATTTAAACAACGTTTAGTTCTAACGTTTTTTACATCCGAGAACATCCGAAAACGTTTGGTTCTAACATCGGGAAACATCTACATTAGAAAACATCAGAAAACGTTTACATATAAAAACATCCGAACAACGTTTAGTTCTAACGTAATGTACATCAGAAAACATCCTTAAAACGTTTGGTTCTAATGTCAAGAGATTGAAATTTTTGACGTCAGACCGACATTAGAATGGCAAAATTTTGTTCCAAAATTTCTGATGTATACACCATGTTACGTTGCTTAAATACAACTAAATCTAGATAAACATTTCAAAAGGTCCTATCTGCATTGATCGATTCTCTTCATCGACTTTCTCTTTCGTCAATAGCTCAGCTGCAAAACTTTCCCCTGTTGTATTTGACATTTTGGACGCTAGATAAGTACCTTCTTTATCAAACTATGTGGTAGAATTAGCGCGAAATCTGTTTGCATAGCAGTGGTTATGAAAAGAGAAAGTCGATGAAGAGAATCGATCAAAGCAGATAGGACCATTTGAAATGTTCATCGAGAAATCATAATGTTTTCTAATGTTTGACATCAGGCATACATTTGATTTCGATGCTGATGTAGACATCAAAATCAAACGTTGGGCTAATGTAAATTTCTATTCGGGAACGGCTGTCAACTAATTGCAACACAGAAACTACCATCACAGACAAACAGACATCACAGTAGCAAGTTGTTCATCGAACAAGCATTTAACGGTCAATTTAAAAGTATCGTAGTTGGTAGTACCGCCACCTGTGGCGCGCATAGCCATTTTTCTTGAGTTTGACGTTTACACACTACCGCCATCTGTTCAGCGTACTACCCACCACAGTGTACTCAACAGATGGCGGTAATGTTTTAGCGACGATGTTTTACAGTGAGAAATATTCAATGTGTTATGTCTGTTTGTCTGTGCTACCATCAAGATAGCTCTATAATAAAGAGCCTGAATTTATAAAGAGGCGACATCTTATCCATTTGACAGGTCTTCTGCTCGATTGGAATGACTTTTCCTATGACTTTGACAGATAATCGATTGTTCCAATTTTGACATGTCGTCTCTTTATAAATTCAGGCTCTTTACTCTATAACATGTTATAACTCTGTAGTCTGAACAAGGCATTAGATTGGGGGAGAGGTAGCTCATCGATTCTTCCGGTTCGCCTCCTAGCATCGTGCTATAAGGTACCAGGCGATAACCAGGGTATAGTTGATCGATAGCTCGATGACGTCATTTCGTTGACGTATGCAATGGGAAATTCTCATAGCAGGCGTTGACGATGGGACGTTGTCGAGTTGTTGAAAAGCAACTATCGTGGTAACTCACCGATTACCTGTCGATCTGCCAAATTTGGAAAGACGTCTGCATTGAATTGAATAATAATATTCCGCCCACTATATCACAAGAAATGGCGAGTAGCTGAGTGGAATGGAGATAAGTTAAGCATTGGGTACAGGACCAAGTCTCCCCTGGGTGGTGCCAAAAGATGAGCGCAATAGAATCATCAAGTTCCCATAAGGCACGGAATGAGACTATTGCATGGCTGGGTAGTCAAAGTCTTCCATTCGTTAGTCATTTCAGGTGGATTAGAACAGGTTTAGGTGGGCGTTGGCCAGATTTGGATTTTTCAGATGTAATCCTGGATAGGACCCTGTCATTGAACGTCGCGTGAAAGTGGAACTGAATGAAGGCCTAAGTACTTTTTCGTAGTTTTTAGTTTTCGGATTTGAAAGATAGTCGGTTACAGTGGCCTGCTTACTGAGCAGAAAAACGCTGTCCCAGGTCCTTACATATCAAAGAGATTTATGGTAAAATCGCTTGTGTATCGTGTATTTTGCGAAACTCGTTGATGTCGTTGGTTCCGGGTTTGAATGGATACAGAAATTTGAGCAACGGTATTATGTGCGTTTGTGCTTACTGAGCAGAACATCATGAGTCTAATCTCAGGCCCATCCACATTCAAGATTCGTCAATCGTTTTATTTGTTAATATGACTACATGGTAATAACAGCAACTCGGTGATTAAAAAGGTGCTCGTCTGCCTAGTGGCAAACGTTTTTGCTTACTGAGCAGAAGACCGTGGGTTTAGTCCCAAGCTCCTTCGCGTTATATGATCGTTAGGACATCAATTCAGCTTATCGTTTACCAAAACGAACCCTGCTGCAAACCCAACCCTCTTATCCAACATCCCAGTGATTCCTCGTGGAAGCGCAGAGGTGTTCTCGGCTTCCATCAAAGCGAGTGTCATGTCAACACAATCCTTCCCATTCCTTTCTTGACCTGTGTTCGGGCGCGGCCGGCGCTGGTATTGCCTAATTTAAGATCACCAGTTTTTACACATTGAGGATGATTGCTAGTCCCAAGCATCGTCTATTGGTTCTCTGTGTAATTACAGCTGATCTGGCAGTAACAGAGTAGCAACCGTGGGCGGTCAATCAAGCTCAAGCTCAAGCAAGCTGTAGTCTGAACCTCGGTCTGAACAAGGCATTAGAGTTGCCTCTATGGTTTTATGTTATGTGAAATTCACAAGCACATTAATGTATTTTTTTTTCAGTGTTTCTCAAATCCATACACGGAACCGTAAAATTACCCAAAATTAAGTTCTTTTCACTCATCTCCCATGTTCCGTTCAATAAGCTAATTTTCAGTAAATCGCTTATAGTAGTTTGCATTTGGCTACGGCAAAAATAATTACTTACTAGTATGTATTTTCTACCCAAAATTAAGTTCATTTGACTCAAATTTGAGAATATCTCATATACTCACTAGTAGCTTATTGAACGATAGTCATGAGAAAGTCGAATCTCTCGTTCCGTTTTTGACAACAGCAAAAAGTGAGAGTGGGATGCAAAACTCAAAATTACCCAAAATTAAGTAAAAAGAACTTAATTTTAGGGTATTTTTTTTTCTCTGTGTAAAGCTTTTTATAGCACACAGAACCTTGCCATAAATGTTAGTACGCATATCGCAAACCCTCGATTACTGTCATTTTGATGTTACTTTGCTGTTATTGTTGTTGTGGTTGACTGCTTGCTCATGAGAATCGAAAAAAAAAAACTTCATCATTCATCAGTCTGGCACTTGGCAGCGACATCGTTCACTATCCTTGTCACCGTCACTTTGTTTTTAGCATTTTCCGTCGTGCGTTCACGATTTGGCGTTGAACACTTTTCGCTGTTATTTTCCTATAAGTAGCTTTCGTGTCAAATTGTGTGCAGCAGGAGTAAAAAGAAAGAAAAATAACTGGATTATCTTCATACCTAGTAATATTAATAATATAATCGACGGTTTCGATCGGTCCTCGCAGCGGCTGTGTGAGTAGGCGAAGTGTGCTGCGGTGGGGGAACATAAATTATTCAGCAACGAACTGCGACGATAAACCCGACAGCGCAGTTACCTTTACTGAGGCAAGGCTGGTTTTGGGGTATTCCAGTCGAGAAGGGGGTAAACTAAAAACGCAACTGTGCGAATAATTTGCATATTGTGGTTCAGATTAGCAGTGATTTCCCTTGAGAAAAGGAGAACAGCCAGATATATCGGTAATGAAAGTGTACATCCGGTCGTAGAAGTCCGGATTGTACGTGAATGGAAGTTCCGGACGATGGGCAACGGCAGCTTTAAAGAAGAAGGTAGTGGTCAGTGTCGTGATATGAGATAAGCCGAACTGCTCTAGTTCGATCTGGTGCGGAGGCTTATCAGTGAGATTTAGAACGAAGAAGGGTTTCGTAAAACGGATTTTGTTGAGCAAGTGAAGAATCTGGAAGCCTTAGAGCGCTAATTGCACGTACAGTTATAGAAAGGAATCACAATCTGTGTGTATTGAAAGATTACGTAGGCAGACGGAGGACAGACTAAAATGGGTGGAAAAATGTCAGTCTTGAACTGGTGGCTTTTGGTCACTTCTTTGTTGGTGCTGATAGCAACACGAATGGGTGAGTCAGAGCAATATTAGGAATGTTTGAAGCGATAAGCAATTGATTTGTTATATTCCGATGGACACAGTGTCAGCACAGTACAGCATCGATTTGAAAACTACGTCCGGCTCGGTCGTCCTGGGCGGAACGATGGAATTCCAAGCAACGCTGCTGACCGACGGGAAGGCGGTCGATGGTGATTATGAGGTCATCTGGTCGGATAACATGAATCCACCGCACACGTTGACGGTAAGTACATTTCCGATTTGCACCGTCATCAGAAGCTCGGCTAGTAAGTAGCTGGCTTTAGTCAAAATGTCACGTATTAGCTTTCATACAAATTAGAAATGAGCGAATGGTGGAATGTTTATTAGAGGGTATTATTATTGTTATCATACGGGATGAATATACCGGTATCATTGGGTACACAATAAGATGTTGAAATCACTAGATCACCCCGTTGCGTTATGATCCATTCTGGGAAAAGGCACGTTTGAATTTTATTCAGCTTTAGAATTCTGTTCCTCCAGTCATGAGTAGCTCTGAGAAATAAATCAAGAACGTTAAGTGGTCCGGGAAGCATGGAAATGTACTAAAGTATTCTAATGTTGATGGGCCTGAGATTAGACTCATGATGTTCTGCTCAGTAAGCAAAAACGGTCGCTCTAAGGTCCCCGAGTCCCTCATATCACATTATACCCTTACTCGAGTTGTAATCATTCATACTCGGCACCGACGACGACGCAAATACACGACAAACAAGTGATTTGACCATAAATCTCTTTAACGTGAAAGGACTTGGGAACGTTTTTTTCTGCTCGGTAAGCAAGCCATTGCAACCGACGATCTTTCAAATCCGAAAACTAAAAGCTACGAAAAGCACTTCATTAAGCTCCACTTTCACGCGACGTTCAATGTTTCAGTTTGCTCTTTACGCATTGTTCACGTGACGATTGTTTGAGCCCTGGTTAAACAAGCTATTCAAATAAACTTACGTTCTCGGAGGCAGCCAATAATGTATCCCAAACGGGATCAAGCGTGTACCCTATTTTTCTAAACATTTCGAAGCGTTCCGTCCAAGATCAATCAGTTACGATTTTCTACAATAGTAGACTCAACTATGTCCTTGCATTCGGGTGCACACCTCCACCTTTCCAAAAATGTGTATACACGATTGTCTACATGGGGGGAAGTCTAAAAACCCTAAAAATCTGTCTACACATCTAATGAACAGCGCCAGCTTGCCATTAAGGATCGATATAGAAAATCTCAAACTTGCATAACTCTTCTACAGGGATACAGCAAACATCCTTACTTCAATTGGACCCAATCGTACGAGAACAATGTAAACGCTGGAAGTTACGTTGTCACGATCGTCGTAAAAAGGTTAATCATATTTTACTACATGGAAGCGTCCACAAAATCGATGGCATTCAACCTGACCAGTAGGTTTTCGTCTGAATTGCTACTTTCATTGCATTGTGATATTCATCATGTATTGTTCCTACAGGTCTTCTCAACGGTCAGATGCAGCTGATTCAGAATAGTAGCGTCGTGGATACGGAGTACGTCTCAAGTGCCGTCGCGTTGAACCAGACCATTGTGCTGACCGAAGGTGATCAGCGAGTCCTGGCCAAGGCCACCTACATTCGGACTTATTGGTTCATCAACTGTCAATACCTGGGTACGTCGGATGAGTTTACCAAGCTGAGCAATTTCACCACAGAGAACCAGGAGTATACCATTGAAGCGTTGGTAGTGGCGTCGTTCGATAAGGTAGAATTGGTTTGATGTTAGTTTTCCGAAATAGTGATTTGATCAAATTGCTTGTTTAATTCGTAGCTTCCGGATCCTACAACGACCACTACCACAACCACCACTACGACCACAACTACTACTACGACGACAACAACAACAACCACTACTACACCAGCTACCACAACCAGCAGCTCTACTACTCCGGCAACTACTACCACTACTACTCCAGTACCGCCAAACAGTACAACAACAACAGTAACGCCGGCAACGACCAGCTCTAGTACCTCAACCACCAGTACAACTCCCAAGCCGAGTTCGCGAAGACGGCGAAGGCAGGTGGCGTCTTCCAGGGATGTCCTCGCCAGCATCAGTCCCCTGTTGCTCAATATGACGGATATCCGAAGTAAGTAGCAAATATTTTCAAGAGTACCTATCTTCAAATCGATGTAAATTTCGTTTTCAACAAAAACTGCACCTGTTCAAAAAAATTCTGAACAAAGTATTAAACTTTTCGTGTACACTGTAAAGTGATGGTACTTGACAATCGATTCCAATGTATGTATGTATACCTAATTTTCGCTAAAAATGCTAATGGGACTGTTATTGTTTTGTTTTGTTTTATTGTTGTTTTACATCAACAGGCTGGATGAAGCCCCAAATGATGTTAACCTTATCAACTATGGTGTAGATACTCCTTAGACTACCTACGCCAGAAGTGTTGCTGCATCAACTGGATATGTTGCCATCTGTTTAAGCGCCCGATCTTTTCGTCTTCGTATGATGGTTCCGGTAAGGCTACTGCTGACCTTCCAATTAAAAAATGTGACGGTGTAAGTACTGACATATCGCTTGGATCCTCCGACATCGCGAATAAGGGTCGCGAGTTGAGAATCGCCTCCGTGCGAGCAAGAAATGTATTCATCTCCTCCGTTGTCAATCTGGTTTCGCCAACAACTCGTTTCATGTGGTACTTCAGCGACTTAACTCCTGCTTTCCAGATCCCACCAAAGTGGGGACTTCTTGGCGGGATAAAATGCCAAGTGATTCCCTTCACCGAGCAGAATTCATCCAACTTTAGACGATGCTGTTGCTCCTCGAATAACCCTTTCAGCGCTGCGAGCTCGTGGTTCGCACCAACGAACGAAGTCCCGTTGTCGGAATACACATCGGACGGAAAGCCACGTCGACTAGCAAAACGATGCAAAGCAGCGATGAAATGGTCCGATGTCAGGTTTGACACTAATTCGAAATGAATCGCCTTCACAGCCATGCAGACAAAGACGACAACGTATCCCTTGAATGTCTTCGTGCTTCTTTCTTCTGGTTTCAGTTGGAACGGTCCAGCGTAGTCGATACCAACCCGTGAGAATACTGGAGCAGGATTAACGCGAGCCTCCGGAAGGCTACCCATGAACTGACTGCCGAGATTAGGTCGATGCTTCGCACAAATTTGGCATTGGGAAATGATTCGCTTGATGATTGATTTCGCCCGTAGGGGCCAATACCGTTCACGGACAATGGATAACAGTCCGCCTTGTCCCACATGCTGGTTTTCTTCGTGTAGTTTCCGGATCAATGCCTCCGTGACATGGTGTTTTGCCGGCAGCAGCACTTGGTGCTTACCGTCGTATGGTATCGCCGAGTATTTCAGCCGACCGCCCACTCTGATGAGTCCGTCCAGTCCGATGAACGGTGCTAAGTTGGATAGACCGTGCCGTTTGCTTGATTCAGCTTTCAGCCCTTTCAGTAGGACCAAGAACATTGCTCGTTCTGCACTGGTAACTTCGTTGGCGCTGATACTTGTGACGTCACGCTTCTTGTGCACCACGTTGTCGATGAACCTCAGGACATACGCCCAGGCACGCTGTAGTTTACGGTAGTCGCTAACACGATCCAGTCTGATTCCAATGCCCTCTATCACAGTTGCTAGTACTGTCGTTATTTTGAGTTCCGGTATTTCAAGAACCTCGTCAGCTACGCCTGCTTGCAATTCCAGTTGCTGTAGATGTGGTGAACCTTTCCACCAGAGATCGTAGACCAACAAGTCTACCGGTGATGCACCTATTGAAATCACGTCAGCAGGATTGCTCTCCGATCGGATGTAGTTCCACTGCTAACCTTGAGTCAACTCCACGATTGTTGCCACCCGATTCGAGACAAATTGATTAAGTGCCGACGGTGACTTTTTGAGCCAGCACAATACGATGGAACTATCGCACCACAACTTCACATCGTCGAAATGAATTCTCATCGAAACAACCACTTTGTCAAGTCCGCCAGTAGTTTTGCTCCGCATAATTCCAACCGGGGAATCGTCATCGGTTTTAGTGGAGCCACTCGCGATTTGCTTGCAACTAGGTTCACACTAATCGTGCCATCCGCTGTGACACACCTGGTATACATGACCGCTCCATAGGCCCGCATCGAAGCGTCCCAAAATCCATGCAACTCGATTCGTACTGCGTTCTCGGGGATCACATAGCGCTGTTTGTGCATTTCGTTGACGACAGGCAATTGTTGCCTGAACGTAGTCCACTCCTGCAGCAATTCTTCCGGTAGCTCTTCATCCCAGTTCAAGCCAAGACGCCATATATTCTGCATCACCAATTTGGCTGCTGTTATTACCGGTCCCAGGAATCCCAGGGGATCGAATAGGCGACCGATATCGGACAGAACCATTCGCTTCGTCGACGACGTATGTTCACTGATCGGCTGGACGAAGAATGCAAAATAATCCTCAAGCGGGTTCCAAATCAAACCCAGTGTCCTTATCGTGTTGTTGATTCCAGTATCCTCAAAACTAACGAACTTCTCTTGCAGCTCCTCTGGTATTGCCTTCAGTACTTGAACAAAACTTGTGGACGCCAAATCCTCCACGTTGCAACAGCGACGTTAGCTCGCGATAGATCTTCAACACCTCTTCCGCAGACTTTCCACCAGTTAGGAAATCGTCGATGTAACTGTCGTACCGGATCACTTCAGGCATAACATTTGATAACGGCACAAAAGCATTTGCAAACAAACTTTCTAAGGCCCTTTACACGCAATTAAAAGTACGCCCACGCAAACCAATAACATCATCAGATAGGGGCAACTATCACCTTTCCGAAAGTGGTATTGGTTTGTGTGGGTGTACTTTGGTTCGCGTGTAAAGGGCCTTAGAAAGTTTGTTTACAAATGCTTTTGTGCCGTTATCAAATGTTATGCCTGTCTTGTTCAGCTAACGGGAAATCCTTACCTTCGCCCGTTGCCAACTGAATTAGCGCTTTTGTAGCATGATGCGGTGAGCTAGCCACCCCGTACGTCACTGTTTTCAATTCGTACACCTTGCGTACGCCGTTTTTATCCACCCACACTATTTTCTGGAACTTGCGGTCGTTCTTGCTCAGCCAAACCTGGCGATACATTTTAGGCACGTCTGCCGTTAATACCACCGGATGCGCGCAGAACCGAAGAATGATTGTCTGCAGATCGCTTTGGACTGTCGGTCCCACACAAACCGTGTCGTTCAGGGAAACTCCTGATGTCGTGCTGGCCGAGGCATCAAATACCACGCGAACCTTTGTTGTGGAACTCGTGGCCTTGAACACGGCGTGGTGTGGTATGTAGTATCCATATCGGGTGTCCTCGGTGATCTCCTCCATATGGCCGAGCGACAGGTATTCAGCCATAAATCCGAAGTACTGTTCGCGTTTGGCCGGGTCCTTGGCCAAAGAAATCAATAGCTTGTCCAAACGTTTGCTTGCCATCTCGAACGACTCGCCCAGCTGCTTCTTGCGGTCATTGAATGGCAGTCGTCGAACCGTATAGCGTCCGTCTTCTTCTCGTACGTGTCTTCCCAAAGTGTTCCTCTACCAGCGCTTCAGCAACGGTCATGTTTGACTCTGTACCAACGTTCTCGATCTCCCAGAATCGCATGAGCGTCTTGTTCAACATCTCGTCTTGGTGGTTCAGTTGACACAGACGCAAGCATTCCTTGGACTTCTTGGTCTGTACTGATCCTCCTACGACCCATCCTAATTCCGTCTCTGTCAATGTCGCTTCGTTCTTACCCAGTTTTAGACGACCTTGCTTGATCAGATCGAAGAAGATCTCGTTGCCGATGATTAGGTCAATCTCACCGGGGGTGTGGAACGATGGGTCAGCTAGCTTGACGTTTGCTGGTAGCAGCCAGGATCGGTAATCCACTTCAGTGATTGGTAGGTTGGATGTCACCTTCGGTACGACCAGGAAGTCTAGAATGGACGAGGAAAAAGAATTAACGCGCGAAACGATGTTCGTGCTAACGATATACTTAACTCGTGTCTGGATATCGTTGAGGCCACTGATAGGCAGATCGACTTGATGCAGCTTCAGATTTAGCTTGGATGCTAGCTTTTCCGTTACGATGTTACTATCGGACCCTGAATCCAATAGCGCTCGAGATTTGATAGTGGTACCTCCTTTTCCCACCATCAACACCTCCGCTGTAGACAAAAGCACGTGTCGCTTAACCCGAGGCTTAACCGTACCGCCGTGAGTGCACAAGGTGGTTGCTATTTCTTTCTGTGGACTGTTTCCTGACGACTCCGGTTGCTCCACTGGCTTTGGTGGCGGCTTTTCAGGTTTGCTGGATTCTTTCTGTACATCGCTGGGATGAAGCAAGCTGTGGTGCTTCCGACCGCACCCTCGGATTTTGCATCCTTGTTCGGACGGACAGTCAGCAACTCGGTGCTTGGACTTCAAGCAATTGAAGCACAAATTCGCCCTCGTGACGATGGATTTGCGCTCCCCCACACTAAGCTCCTGGAACTTGTATATAGTATGCTCTTCTCTGCAGCAAGGGCAGTTCTCCTTGGTGGTCTGGACGAACGATCTCGACGAAACTGGAGCTGACTGCTTCTGGTTCAACGCTTGGCGTTGCTTGTTTAGGACGGTTCACTACTGTGACGTTTGCTGCTGTGAGCGATTAGTCCGCTGCAGAACGCGTCCCATTTCCCTCAGAAAATCCATGAACTCCTTGAATACTGGCATCTTGCCGGTGCCCAGTTTCAACTCCCAATGTTCTTGAGTCTCTCTGTCCAGCTTCTTATACAGAACGTTTACGATAATCAGCTCGGATAATCCTTCCACGACGTAACCATGGCCCTTCAATGCATCAGCATGCTTAGCACAAACTTCGACCAGCTTCGAGATTGACTTACCGCGATTTTCCTTACCGATCTTCTGAAAGTCGAGAATAGCATCGATATGCGTGTCCATAATTCAACCTTTTATCCTCGTACGCATCTTCGAGGATTTTCCAGGCCATGTCGTAATCGTTGTTGTTTACAACATCCTGGTCAATCTTGTCCTTCACCTCACCAGTCAAGCAGTTTCGCAGATGCAGAATCTTCATCGCCGGGGTTTCGTTCGCATACCTAG